TAAACAAATACCTCACTTTAAAAACTCTTTAAAAGTTGCTTTTATTAAATAGTTAAAATGGTGGCTCAAAATAGTATAAGAGGAAAGTGGATTTAAGTATGTATTTAGTATAAATAGCCTGTGTTTTTTTAGCTGTCTCGTATCCACTTAGCCCCATTTAGATAGCTGCATATTCACTTCCCTTAGAGAACAACCCTTTCCCTTTTCATGTGCAGTTTGGTGAGGATGTCCATCAGGGTTCCCAATCTCTTCTACAGAGCCAGGCGGCGGTCATGAGAGTCAAGCTAAGCTAACTGGACGCTCTTGTACAGCACCAGAATAGACCACCCCAAAGTATACTTCTTTGGCTTAAGAATTATTTTGAGAAAGAGCAGACACAGAAGGGGCTCTGAAAGCAGACTATAAATTACCCTTTTGTGGTTGAAAAGGGGGTTCTATGGAAAGTAACCTTATAAGGTGATGTAATTATAAATTCCTAACTGGGCAGATCAAGGTGGATAGTCAGCCCTAGGCATTAACTTTTTAGTAAAAATTCACTTAAATAAGCCCTGTCCTTGTGTGTGTGTGTGTGTGTGTGTGTGTGTGTGTGTGTGTGTGTGTGTCTACCTTTGAAATAAGCAGTAACCACCCTTCAGAGGGCACATAATTTTGTTAACTATCATGTAATCCAATCCCTACCTTGTCTTCTCCCACCTCTTCCTTAATTTCCTTCCTTAATTTCAAATGCATGAATTAAGCTGTTATTCTCCACAGTATATGAGATCCTGCTCCCCCAGCATACATTGTCAATTTGGCTCAAATAAATTCATAAAAAATTCTCCACATTTTTTAGAGTAAATTTAGTTACAAAGGAAATCTCTATTTGTAAGGGTGGTACCCTCTCTGTACTGGGAGGAAAAAGATGACTTTGAGTTACAAGAAACTCTTATTAATGGAGAAGTCAGAGTTACATCTATGTGATGAAATTTAGCCTAATTTACTGTGCTTTTCCTGGTCACCTTTCCATAATTTGCCTCTTCCACACTCTTCTTCCTTTGTTTTAGCTATGAAGATATGTAAGCTTAAGTTCTAGCCATCTCTTTGTGTTACTCATCTCTGAGTTTTTCTCATGTATAGTATGAAATATTCATGTTAATAATTCTCTTGGTTTTTCTCATTAGTCTGCCTTTTGTTACAGAGGCTTTAGCTGAGAACTGATAAGGACAGAAGAAAAAGATTTTTTTTCCTCTACAATGTCCTCAGAATCTGAGTTTCAAGTATTGATGCAGAATTAAAATATAAATTTGAACTGGATTTATACCCATTAGGCCCTGATCTCCAGCTCCCCTTTACTGGGTTCCAGCTATTTCCGAAGACCAATCCTTCTGCTATATTTTTCATATGTAATCTCTCCCAGATTCTTTCAATAAATTCCCACTCTACTCCCACCACTATTCCATTTCCCCCCTTAGCTCAAAATGGTTTGGATTGCTTGCAACCAAAAACTCTAATGAATAAACTCTGTCTGCAACATTTGTGGTCTTCATGATCACCTGTATGGTTATGCCATCCAAATTTTGGGATTTTCCATGTATACTAGGTGCATATCCAAAAGAAATGTCAACTTTCTTTAGTAAAGCACATAACTGCCTCCATAATATGACTTCTGACTGCTAGGCTCATCACTTTTCTCCTAACAGCATCCATACCTAGCCAATTACAGTTCCAGGAATATGCCATATACATTTCAGCCACTGAAACTTCTTTCTTAGTTGTTGCCACTGCCCTGTGTTTATAACCCAGTTTAGTTTTATGACCATTGAGTAGCCTGTAGACTCCAATTCATGGTAATCCCTCCCATTTGTTAAAAAACGAAATTCAACTGAGTAAATTTGAAGACCTAATTGGCTTTATTAAGTGATTCATGAATCAGGCAGCATCCCATCTAGCAACTAGAAGAGTGCTCTAAGGGGATGTACAAAATGGAAGGTTTTGTAGGAAATAGTGTGGGGCAAGAAAGCTATTAATGAAATAAAAGAAAAGGTTATTTGGGAGCTGGAACATCTTTTCTTGGGGGGGAAGAAAAGGGAAAGGGCTTTTTTTAATGTAGATTGCCTCTTCTTTCTATGGAGGATGGAGAGAGCCTCCTGGACAGATTACCTTACTGGGGCTTGACCAGAAAATTCCATACTGGTCAAATAAGATTACTTACTGAATAAGTTGAAAGTGCAATTAGATCAGGTATTAAACCTATGTTTGGTGCCTGAGTTGAGGGCCAAGCCCCCGGTTGGAGGCATGTGAGAGGCAACTGATTAATGTTTCTGGAGCTCTTTGATGTTTCTCCCTCCACTCTCCTCTCTCTAAAAAGTATGTAAATAAAATCTTTTAAAATTTTTTTAAAGAAAGAAAAAAGAAAACACCATAGACCCATAATGACATTACTTGTATTAAAAGTCTATGATACAAAACCTAGATTCTTCCTATGATTTATAGGGAAGAAAACATTTCCTTTGACTTTCTTTGGGTCCCTGGCTGGTTCTAAAAATTAAACTGACAAAGACAGATCAATAGGAAAAAAGTCTATGAATTTTATTAATTTTTTACATGTACATGGGAGCCTTCATGAGAGAATGAAGGTCCAAACAAATGACCAGAGCAGGAACATTTTATACCTTTCAGAAAAAAAATCAAAGGGGTTTGGTCTATAGGTAGAAAATGGTAAAGATAAGAGTTTGTAGATTCTTCTGGTGCCCTCTCTGGGCCAATTAAGTGTCTATCTTCAGTAAAAGAATTTATTTCCTGACTTTAGGCTGAAAGAGCTATATTTTTGGGTGACAAAGTCTGGTTTCCTTCAGCATAAACATAAAATATCTCTCCATTTGAACCTATTTATATTTTTTCTATATAGAGTTTTATAGTTTTCCTCATAGTGATCTTGTGCATATTTTATTTGCTTTATACCTAAGTATTTCATTTTTCTTGGGTGCTAATGTTATGTTTGTCTTTTTTTGTAATTTCAAATTCCAAATGTTCATTGTTGATATATAAGAAAGCAATTGATTTTGGTACATTAACCTTGTCTCCTGTAAGTTTATTATAAACAGATATCATTTTTTATCCTGTAGATAATCAGAGCCATTAAAAGCATTACACAGGAGTGTTTCACTATAATACTTACGCTAAGGGATACTAATCTGCAAGTAATATGTGGAATGGGTTGGGCTGTAAAAGAGGCTAGAGGTAGAGTCCATGTAGGAGGCTTTCCTGTGAATTCTCCACCATACACTAAGTTTCTGAATAAGGGAACTGTATGACTGTTACAGAATGGACCTGTTGGGTGAGGGTGGAGGCAAAATACTGTTACCAAAACAAGTCCTCTCCTCCAGGGTCCTTCTGCCCTAGGTCTGTCTTTGCCCGCCAACAGGTGTTAGAAATTTTGGCTCTCAATGCCAGAGTTTGGTAAAAAGAAAAGGAACTATTTATTCAAAAGTCACAAGTTTAGAGTGATGATGAAATGTCACCATTAAAAATTCAAAGCTTCCTTTAAAAAAATCCACCAACACATATACAGTCTTGCCTTCCCCTCTTTGCCCAGTCAGGCCAGTCAAGGGTACCATATCTCAGGAAGAGAAATACAAGTCCATGCTCAGCTAGACTCCTGGTTCCCACTTGTAATCCATGCTGGGCTAGGCAGGCCTCCCAGGGTTCCCAGCACCATCAGCTGCGTCGCCTGGTCTTAATCCAAAACCACTTGGCAGCCTCTCATGGTTCACCAACGAGAGTCCTTTCACCCTGTTTCTTCCTGCATGGTCTCTCATCGTCCCCCTTGCATTTTTTCGAACTGCTAAGAGAGAGCTTCGCATGGCTGCTACATCTTGCTTTCCTGCTCCCTAAGCCGCATGGTCAAGGGAGCCCCCTCTCCACTCCCAAAACTGCGTGGTTAGACCTCAGCATGGCTGCTGCACCTAGGTTTAAATCTTGGTGCAGCTCTTCCTTCGTAAACCCATTCCCAACTCCTCCCACAATTGGCTACACCTGCTAGCACTACCCTATTTTCAGCCTTTCTGGGCTGCAATAGGAAGTCCAGGCAGGTGTGTCCCCATGACGTGGAGCCAACCATCTACAAGCTCTCATGCAGGCGCTGTAGCCTGGGGGAGCTGCCTCCATTATGCCTGGGTGAAAGCTATGCATACTTTCTGGCTCCAGTCAGGCTTTAAGACTAGTCTGCTGTTATTGATATACAAATGGGCTGTTAACTGAATGATTGGTGGTGATATGAAGCTGTCCTGTTATTATTGATATGCAAAATAACTCTTGGATGGCCCTGCTCCATGTGTCTCATTCCCCAGCCAGACTTGTGTTGGGGAGGATATCCTATAATCTGGGACACCCCAGGTTCTGGAACCCATTACAAATCTCCTCTTTGGGTGGGGGGGGGGGCAGCACCTGGATGCACACTGTTACAGTACCAATGGAGAGATAAGAACAGATTCAGTAGGCAAATACCCTAAATTTTCCCTTCTACTTCATGTGTATGGATCTCTTCACACAGAGTTACCTCTTGGGGATGCCGTTACCATTCTCTTCACCTAACTTCTAATTAATTCTCAAAACTCATTTCAGGTGTCATGCCCTCCAATAACCCCTCCTCTCTACTACCTCCTCTCACTCCCCTGTCATTTCCCCCATCAGAGCTGTAATTGTTATTTATATTTATTAATGTATAATGTATTTGGCTGTTTAGCTGTCTCTTTCATTAGATCATAAGCTCCTGAATCTGAGTAGCCCAGAATCTGCTCTAATAAATGTACACATAAATAATTCATTTACATCTGTTGTTGGAACTCACAAAATTACCATGTGGCAACTATTGTATCAGATTTACTTGGTCTATTTTCTCTTAAGAAACAAAAATCATAGAACTTTATAGAAACTGAAACTTCAGATCAGGAAGAAAGCTCTCAGCCCATATGAGGAAGTGCTCAGTTCCTGAAACCTGAGTTTTTAGTCACATTGTTTTTTTAAATAAGCTTATTCTTCCTGTGTCTATAGTGATATCAACACTATTTTAAACAGAAAGTCTGAAGATCTAGCATCTCATCCACACTGCTCACAAGAAGTTATCTTCCAGGCCTTACTTTCGGGCTCAGCACTCTCCCCTTGCCGCAGGCAGACAGCTGTGACTCACTGGGGACAGCAACAACTGCTGACAGCCTCTGAGCCTGAGGCTAACTACTGCCTCTATTCTCAGCAGAAGCCCCAGTGTGGAGACCAGGTAAGGGAAGCCTCAGAGCTAGGGAGCAGTGAAGGTGGCTGGAAGGTTTAGGTCTAATAGGTGGAAGGTAAACAGTTCAGGACTGAAGAGGGGAGAGACAAAATTTCTGACGTGGGGGCCATTGAACATAGTACAGGATGAAGAGAAGAATTAGATCTGCCAATCAGAGGAAAAGTCTTCTTCATATTCCTCTTCACTGAGCTTCAGGTTCATCATAGAATTGTAAGGCTCAAGTAGAAAAGATGGTTAGGAAAAATAGCTATGACATCTTACATGGCACAATAAAAATCTAAATAGTTATAAATAATAATGTTGCTTTTATTGCTTTTACTACTGCAATTCTCTTACGTCTTCCTACACAGAAAAGATGGCGGTACATCTCTTGGTACACTTTCCTCTCCTTTTACTGCTGCTGGGACTATGGGAGCCAGTGTGTCTTCTTTATCCTTTGCCTAAAAACCTCACCAAGGCTCAGTGGTTTGAAATTCAGCATATACGGCCAAGCCCTCTCCAATGCAACAAGGCAATGCTTGGTGTCAATGATTATACTGGGCACTGTAAGCCTCAAAACACCTTTCTGCACGACTCCTTCCAGAATGTGGCTGCTACCTGTGAGTTGTCCAATATTGTCTGCAAGAATGGCCGGAAAAATTGTCACCAGAGTCCAAAGCCTGTCAAGATGACTAATTGTGATCTTACTGCAGGGAAGTATCCTGACTGCCGCTACAAAGATGCTGCCGAGTACAAGTTGTTTATTATTGCCTGTGATCCTCCTCAGAAGAGTGACCCTCCCTATCATTTGGTTCCTGTACATTTAGATAAGATTGTTTAAAGTTTTCATCACTTCCTCTCGCTTGTTACAGGCTCTCTTAATGATCTCTTCCACATTTTGTTGATTTCCCTGGTTGCCATTGAAGAAAAGAAAAAGTTTTGGTTGAATTAGAGTGCCAAGGTCACCAGACCAGATTTAGGACAAAAAGAAATAGGATTCTTTTCTGCTTTGAAGCTCTGTGTTTCCAAGGATGGCGACAAGGAAAACGGCAAAGAAGGACCCAGGCCTCCATATTTTTAAGCTTGGAACTTTTGCCAAGCTTTGTTGCCCTGCATTAACATCAATAAAATCACTTTCTGCTGCATTCTAATGAGTGTGAGTAGGAATGTTTGAGAATCCTTTTGTTATCAGAGGAGGATGGAGACTGAGGCAGGTCTGCCTTGGTGTGGTCTGGAAATAGGCCATGGTGTTACGGGAAAATAATTTCAGGGACACTTACATAGGAGGAGTTTAGTAATAGTGGCAAGATTTATAAGAGCAAAAAGTAAACAGTGATAGTGAAGCAGGACACAGCATAGGAAGAACTCTGAGACTGCAATACTGTCACTGGTCAGCATTTAGCACCCTGGTTGCCAGGAAACACCTTTTACCAATTAGGTAGAAAAAATAGTAAACCGAGGCAGGGAGGAGGAAAGAGACAAGTTTCACAAGCTAACTCAGCAGTCCTAAGCCTGTTCTGATAATATTGCCAGGTGTTTCAATATCACAAGAAACACTATATTAGCAAGAAAGAAAGTCCTTGAAATTCTATGTAACATTTCCACTATCTGGGAAAGAAAGCCTTGAAACTGTGCTCTCATCCCAAGGCCTGAATGTCGGAGAGGGTCCCCGGTGCCCAAAGAAAGCGCCCACAAAACAGCTTTGGTTAATTGCCTACCTCTGGTCACTATCTGTTTTAGGAGGGAGTCCCTGATGCTTACAGAAAGAGCCCATAAATAACTTCGGAAAGTGCCCCAAATTTTAATTAACTGCCTCCTGTCAGGTATTTGTTTTACAATAAGATGACCAAATGGAGTCTGGAGCAAGATAAGAAATCAGACTGACAGACCCCCACACATACCTAAGTTTGGGTAGTCACATCCTCCCAGGAAAGCTGGCACCACATTTACCCATTAATCAATATGTAACTTTTTCCCTCCTATCCCACCAGCTATATAAGTCCTGAGGAAAAAGGACTCTCTCTCTCTCTCTCTCTCTCTCTCTCTCTCTCTCTCTCTCAGCGGGGGGTGGGGGGGGGGTGGGGGGGTGGTTCTTGGCTCTTGAGCCACAGGGCCTCTGGCCACCTGGCCTCAGGCTGCCCAGGGGCTGGCCACCCTGGTCTCCAGCCTCTCTTGCTTTTCTCACCCTGCTTTGCTCTGAAACTTTGCCTTTCACCCCCTATTCTACCCAGTCCTGTTCTCTTCCATGGAAGCAGACCACTAGTAAACTGATTACATACTACTAGGTTTGCTGATATGTAATTCTTTACGTGTGTCAGCAAGAAGAACCAAGTTTCTCCCGTCAACAATAGTACATGCCCAGAGAGGCAGAAAGAGCAGGCCGGCTATAGGGCAGTGATCGTGTGAACTCAGGGAACGAAGTTACAGAGGGAAAAGGAGAGTACTCTGCTGCCACTCACTGCTGCCCTGGTTGCAAGTCCGGTGGGGACCCTTAGAATTTAGGAAAAAGAAAGCAAAAAAAAAAAAAAAAGTGCCTGAGAGAAGGTAGGGGATGAACACACCGGGTTCTTCATCTAGTTTCCATGTATTTCCTTGGGTTTGGGAAAAAGCAGGCTTCCTTTCAGACTACTCAGTCTCTTTCCTGGATTCTCCAGGGCCTGTGCCCTTCTCCACTCCAATTCTTACACTGACCTTCCCAGGCTAGTGCCTTCCTCCTTGCATGGTCATCATTTTGGCTCCTACTGAGCATGCCTCACAGTTTTGCTTCATACTTGACTTCTACTACACATGCACTTAGTAAGAGAAATACTGTGCAAAATAGAGACAGACTCAGAGAGCAGGATGATAGCTAAGGGGAGAGAGGAGGTGGAGGGATTCAGTAAAAAGGAAAAGGACTCATAGACATGGACAACAGTGTAGTAATTGTGGTGGGGAGGGGGATGTAAGGGGATTAAATGGTAATGAAAAATACAATACAAAAAGAAATTGAAAAAAAAAAAAAAAGAAATTCCCCTGCACTATCATGGCTTCTACCATGCATGCACTCAGTAAAAGGAATCCCCCCCCTCACCATTTTCTCTCTCCCTTTGGTAATCTAGCTGAATGATGCCAGTTACCCTCTGGGGTGGCTATAAAGCTACCTTTCCTGCCTAGCCAACTAGGCAGGATGTTTTGTACCACTTGGCAGAATGATGACAGTTACTCCCCAGGATGACTGCTCTGTTTGTTCCTCATCTTTTGGTAATTAGCTAACTAACTGTTTACTCTAACACTTTCACAACAGTGCCAGCCTAGAGAGATCTAAGCTTGCATTTGCCAGTTTTCCAAGAGAGCTATTTTGATCCTGGGTGTAGGGGAGGACAGTAATTTTTTCTCTATTCTTTTTGGTTGTTGGCTAAGAGCCCTCTGTAATATAAAGTCAGATATATAAGAAAATAATTTTAATTACATATGTACATATGGGAGCCCCACAAAGCTATGGGACCCAAAAGGTAGTATTACTGAACCAAAGTGTGGTTCGGCTGCCTGCCACCATAAAAAGGCAAATTCTGGAGGCAGATGCTGGTGGTAAAGGAAAGGATTTTTGTTCAAAGGCTCAGTGATCTGGGAGGATGGGGAACTTCTCATTTCCTGGCTCATGAGGCTCATCTCTTCCACAAAACACAGGCAAGACCCAGCTGTACCCAGCAAGACCAAAACTAAAGGCAATGCCCAAAATTCCTGCTCCATTTTAAAGTGCTATCTTTTGGAGCCTAAAGTGACTACGTGGACTGCTGTCCAGCTTTGGACTTCCTCCTCTCTCCTGGAGGCTGCATGTGGTGCTGGCACCACCATTGGCCATGCGGCTTCTAGCAGCAAGGTCCCATGCTCCTGGGCAGTGGAGCTGGTAGAGGCACCAGTGAATGCTCTACTAGGTCAGCAAGAGAGAGAAGCTTCCTCCTAGAGGCCATGGAATCATGTGGCCCATGAAGAGAACAAGCCAACACACTGTCCAAGTGCAGGTTCCAAACAGCAACCACAAGCCTCCCGAGCTTTCTTTTTTTCCCTGGACTTACATAAGTGTCCTGTGTGGATGGTTAGGTCCTTTCTCATAATGCCCAAATAACTTCCCAAAATTCACATGTTCCAGCAGGGTCCACCCCTCCACCAATCCCATCTTTTCCCTAGGCTAGACTGACAGGTTTTCTCCGGTCCTGCACCTCCCCCTGTCCTCTCGCCATTCTGACTTCTCTGGCACATGTGCCTGCCTTCCCCTGGTCCCACACCTGGAAGGGGGCAGGAGGGTTTTCCTCCTATCCAATTATCTCGCTAGTCTTGCATGTGCTTACTGCAATACTTCCTCTTGCTGCAATCTTGCCTGGGGGTAGGTGATCTGCCACCAGGAGCAGGAAACTCTGCCCTAGGAGTGGAGCATTTGCAAGGCACCAGCTTGGTTACCTGAACACTGCAGCCTATCCACTACCTCGGTTGGTTTGCAAACTTCTCTAGTGGTCCCTCCTGCTCCCCGTCTTCTACCTGCTCCCAGCAGTCTGGCCAGGCTATCCATATCAACTCCCTCCTTCAAAACTCTGGACCCTTGTATTTTCACAAGGGCAACTGGGTGAAGGTCTCATTCTTCTGAAATTACTTCCTGCTGGCAAAGGCCATAGTCTTACCTATCCCTAGGTCCGGAGATCTTTTACTAGCCAACAGGTGAAGGGGGTCAGTAATGGATGGAAGCTTTATGTGAGGGGGAAGGGTCTTGCAAAGTCCAGGTCATTTGGCTGTCCCTAGGGAGCAGCATATGTGATATCCAAAGAAAGGCATTGCAGGACAAGCTGGCATCCTTGTTGTATTCTGGAGGTGATGTGTTTGACAAGAAGGTTAAAAGACATAGTCCAAAAATGAGGAGAACCACAGCAACTACAATGCCACAGATTAAGTTGAAGGAGTGCCTTTCTTGGAGGAAAGTGTACAAGGTGTGTCACAGCTGTCTGAAACTCTTTTGTCTATCATAATTAACTCAGATCAGGCTGAGGGGAATATTCTAAAATTTCCCCCCTCTGAAGAATTATGGGCCTTTTCTCTCTGAACCATTAGGGCAGAAAAGGAAAGCAGTTTTAAGCAAAGCCAATAGACTGCCCTGTACTTCATCAACTCAACAATCTAGTCCTGACATGTCAGCCCAGCCAAACCATTGAGTCTCATTTCAGGAGGTGGTGATGCAGACGGACTTTTAAAAAGAGGCCTATACTGTGTAAATAAGCAAACAGGTAAATAAGGTCATAGGCATACACCCTATGAAAACAGGAGGAACACAAAGGTTAATGCACAAAACAAATCATAAACCAGTCTCTGAGTTCACAAGACTGTCATTTGAGAAGATGTCCAGTTGCAATGCTTTTTCTGGAATGATATTAAACAGTGCCAATATCCACAACTGGGCATTGTGATTTTCACTGAAATACAATATTTCTCCTTAATATCACCCTCATTGTCATCAAAGAGACTGCATTAAGACCAGTTTTAACTTGGCCTGGTAATTTGCATAAACACAACAAGAATAGCAATTACTCACATAGGATCTTTAGATCTGCTTTGCTGAAACTTACACAAGGAATCTTTAGATTGAGCATTAGTCACCCACTCAGGGCATAGAAGCCAAGTCACAGTTGCCATCAGGTTTTGCCTACAATACCTATAGATTTGGATAAATTCCTCAAGTTCTTAAGGTCCCCCCAAAATGTAGTGAAGTTTATTCTTTGCCATCTTTCAGGAAAGCAACCTCCGTTCCTTTCCTGGAAAGACTGCCATGAATCACATGACCAAGCAAGGTATCAGGTTATTTTGGCAGTGGGCTTTTGTTAGCTTTGAAAGTTTATCTCAGTTCCTCAAGGCATTCTGGTGACATCCAGAGTTCAGGCATGTCTCTTTTAGACATGACATTCCAGTCAAAGTCTTGGTTAATAAAATCACAATTACAAACTAGTCTTATTGGATTTATGCAATGAAATATATTACCATAACTCACTCATTAAGAACTGCCAACCTCTGCTCTGGCTGGTGTAGCTCAGTGGTTGAGTGCCAGCCTGCAAATCAAAAGATTGCTGGTTTGATTCCTGGTCTGGGGCACATGCCTGGGTTGCAGGCTGGGTCCCCAGTGGGG